AATATTTGATATTCGGCAATGTGATTCAAGTAATTTCGTCGGTAAAATAAAAAAATATGTGGGCACATAATACCAAAAGAACAAAAAAGAACGAAGAACACATACAGAATTAGTTGTTCAGCGTATGCAGTTCCGGCAAGCATACTCTGTGCATTGATATAGTCGGCCACTTTGTTTCGTATACGAGATCCTTCAGCGGCAAGTTCGTGTGGGACTGCAGCTGCTGCCTGTAAATGGAGATTCGGAGATTCACATCAAAACAACTTTGATGACAAGACTATCAAGATTTACATTCTTGGGTGCTTCCAAGTTGAGTCGTGGGACTGTGGGGAACTGCTTAAACTCGTCGGGTGGAGCTTGCTTGGCAAGAAGGTCTGGTTGACGCGAGGATAAACTCAGGAGAGACATCTGAAAAAAGGTTGTGAATTGCCAATAGAAGTAAAAGAAGTTATATAAAAAAGTGAAAGGCACAGTAACGACTTCAAAAGAAGTTATACAAGACGTGGGCGCAGTAATATCTCCAAGAAGTTATCTATAAAAGACGTGGAAGGCACACAACGTTTTAGCACGGACTTAGCACAGACACATAGCAAAACGATTTAAAACATCGAATAAGAGTGAACTTCGGCTGAAGAATTTGGATGAGAAATACCAGAGCAGAGTGCAAAAGCGCGTAGGCAAACACAACCGAGACGCAACATTGCAGACGAACTAACAAAAGGAGTTGCGTTGAAAACCGAAGCCGATTTTAGTACTAAAGTTGTTAGCGCTCAAAAAGACTTTTGGCTTTCCAACAACATAAATCAATCAATGGGATGCTAGAGAAATCAAACTGAGGTTAAGGAAGAGTAATGCCTAAGAAAAGGCATTTATTTGCACAGTGCTCACTTTCATCTTAACTGTGTTGGGTAGATTCTCAGAGATCCTTGTCATTTCCGCGCCTCTGAGAGTGCCGAAACGGAATCTGCGTTCTAGCTAGCAAAGTTGTTTCAAAAGTCGCGTTTTGGCAAAGGAAAAGCGCAGAATGGATATGTTCACTACCAGCCCTCCAAGCAGAGATTGATTGGTAATTGGAGAATTGTTCACTTCTCCATTTCACGGTGGTTGCTTATTTGTTGCTCAGCATTGCTCTTGTTGGAGACCAAGCACAGTACCTCTCCATGGCTTCGACGAAAGCAATTTTTGCTATATTTGCAAGCTAAAGCGCAGTTTCGTATGCGCTCTAAAGTCGAATATGACAAATTAGGTAAATCGTCTTTGAAAGCATCATTCAATTCTACGTAACAAAGATTGCTGCGTAGCCCGTAAGCAGCCTGAAAAAGCTCTCATGTCTACCCTATGCCACCAGTGGAAGGAGAAAATAGATATGCAATTGAGAGAGTAGTTGTATATTCATTATCTTAGCTCAGTCCTTTTTATTCCTACTCACCGCTGCACCCTGGCAC